CGGGCGGATCCCCGCGGCTTGCGGTCCCGGGCAAGCTCGTGGGAGCCACCAGCCTGGTCCCGGGAAGAGGGGGAGGGCTGGGAGGCATTGGGTGGCTGTCTCGAGCCGTGCCAAGTGCAGGGTCTGCTGGCTGGGTGCTGGCAGGCTTGCACCTGGCACGGGCACCATAGCCAGCCCGTGCCCCTTTAAGGGCTCCTGGACCGGGAGGGGGGCAGAAGTGTTTCCCTGGTGGTGCCCAGAGTGGCCACCAGGGAAAGCTGAGGAGGGCTAGCCTCCCACTAGTTCAAATTAAGGGGCTACACAGCCCTTAATTCGAACTACTTAATTCGAACTAGGCGTTAGTCCTCGTGGAATGAGGTTTACCTAGTTCAAATTAAGCACACCGCTAGTTCGAATTAAGTTTGAACTAGCGGTTTGTATATGTAGCGCCTATCAAAGTTAATTCGAACTAACGGCTGTTAGTTCGAATTAACTTTGTAGTGTAGACATACCCTAGACACTTTACAGTGCTGTAACTTTCTGGCTCAGGGGTGTGAAAAAACACCCCGAATACACCAAATTACAGCGCTGCACAGCGCCAGTGTGAATTAGGCTACAGCACTGAGAGCACGGTCCCAGCGCTGTTAGCTACTCCCCTGCTTTACACAGAGCACTGGGAGAGCACTCGCCTAGCACTCAGGACGTGCCCACACTTCCAGTTAAAAACACTGCCGTGGCTGGAGCTTTAAACCTTTAAGTGTAGACAAAGCCTTAGCTTTTGGACTCCTGAATCAAGACTATCTTAGGCTTTGTGCATGTCAAGTCACAGAAGCTCATGGCCCCTTTCTAGCCAGTGCATGTGGAAATGGCATTTCATTTGAATAGGACCCATAACAGGGGACTACAGAATACTAATAAGTGCCTCACCTTGAATATATCTCACTGGAATTTTTGTAAATCCTCATTTCATATTAAATGTATGTATGATGAAGCAGCAAAATGGCTTTTATTACAGCTTGGATTTTTTATCCAGTATTGCTTGTAGTTACCAATTGTTCAGGATTCACAAACAGGGCATTGAAACATTTCCTCTTCATGAATGAAGTTCTGTGCAGCCCGTGAACAGTCAAGTCATTTCAAGAAAATGTAGAGAGGGGCAGGGGAAAGATCAGGAACTGCAAATAAAATCTGGGTTTAAAAAAGGGAAGTTATCATTGCTTTTAGATACATTGTTTTGGTCATGACAGGGAAGTTGGAAGAACTCTTTATTTTTAAAATTAAAACTGGCATGAAATTCACAAGATTAATTTATTAGTTTATTCTCTAATCTGGAAAAGATCATGAAATCAGTTAAGAGACCGATGTTTTTAAAATGCTTTTGATTATTAATAGTCACATTGACTCATAACAGTATGATACAATCCAGTAAGATAAACTTGCTTTTGGGACAATAAATCTGTCATACAATATTTTCACCAATGATGTGCTTTTTCCTTAAAGGAAGGCGGGGTTACTTGTAAGTATCAGGGCAATAAATAAGAGAGTCCTATGTCAGGGAAATTAGAAGTCAGTTAACATAAGCGTATACTCAGACTGAGCATTAGAGGGCTTTTCTAAACCATCTAAGTCTGTTGAAATTGAACTGCATAGGATTAGGAAGTTTAGATACAAGATCAACAGTAACAACAGTAAAAGAATATTTTGTTTTTAGCTGGCCAGTTAGCCGGGAGCAAAGCAGCATGAATCCAATACACAGTACCTTGTTGTTTTCAGTGCTTCTTTTAATTCTCAGAATTCAGGAGCTGGCAGAGGCATGCAGCTGTGCCCCTGCACATCCACAGCAGCTAATCTGTGATTCTGCTTTAGGTGAGTCATTACTGCGATACCATTTTTAACATTGTCGGTAAAAACAGCAAATGTAGCTAACTTAACCATGGTGATATTTTTCTGTACAAGTCTCCAGGTGAAGACTACATTTTTAAAAAGTAGTTTATTCTTCGAAAGGTTTTCAAAACAAAATGATAGGAAGATCTTATTTAAAGTGACAAGTATGGAAGAAAATGCATTTGGTCTTATATTTGGTAGTTGCTATTCCTTTTCCTTGCTAGTTCAGTGAATTTTCCGGACTAAAATTGTTGAAACTAACATTGTAAATAATTTAATGCCTTTTCTTTACAAGAACCAGCTTCTATATAAGCTCTCAAAGAAAGTAGGGAGGAATACGGTAGCTGACAATCAGTACTGTTCACATTTTATATGTAGAATAAAAGATTATATAATATATGAATACCATACATGCTTTATATATATATATAAGTGAAGATACAACTTGTTGCCACAGTGCTCTGTAAAAAGAAAAAGGGGTATTGGGTTGAACTTAGTCAATCTACGATTTGTTACAATATAATTTGTTTTCAATGTATTTTTGGTGATTTTGGAACAAATAATTTACGAGGCACTTGATGACCTTTTAAAGTTATCTATAGAAAAACGTGTCATAGAATCTTGTTTAAAGCTTCACTGTATTCACCTAAGATTACTGTTGTACAATGTAACCAACATGTAGAAAAAATTCCCTAAAGAGCTCAAAATTGGACAACACAGGGAATAGAAAATGTGACATTTGCAATCTTTCGAATTAATCAGCTCAAACTATGGATGGTTAGATTCAATCCAGTGTGAACTGTAAATGTAGAACATGAGTTTCCAAAGTGTCACAAAATTAGCATCTCTATGGGATAGGCAATACCTTCTGCATACTGATTAATTACTTTTATACACTTACAGAAAATCTTTGTACCCATGACAAACTCTAAGCTCTGGTTGTGGCCATCAGTTAAATTGTTTTCTAATCTGATTGTGTAACACAATCTTTTTATTAAGGTGCCTATACCAAACAGTACAGAAGGAGGTAATCTGAGGTATATAGAGAAAAATCAGGTATTTGAAGTTATTACACTAAACTATTTGATGCATTCATAACTTGTTTTTCCTGGATTTGGCAGTAGGGAAGAAACCTGAGATACTGATTACATGTTGTGTTCCTTTAGAATAAGGCAAATTACAAGGCTGAAGAGTTGGAGAGTTTCCCCAAATATATTTTATCAAATATATATCTTATTTTATGATTTCTGCTGCTATCAAAATCTAAGTAATGGGGGCAGAAAATAAAATTACAATAAGAAAACTGACAAGTATATATGGATTTGATCAAGCCAGCTAGACCATTCACATGAGAGAGAGCTACAAGATGGGGCCTATATATTGCTATAAACATATAGAGCTGGATTCTTTAGCTTGCTATGGTCACATTGCACTGTATAGGCAATGCAAAGTGGTCTTAAAGGGTATGTCTAGACTGCATCCCTCTGTCGGCAGGGATTCTTATGCCTCCTGCAAGGAGGTTTACAGGATCTGTTGAAAAAGGCTTTCTTTCTCGACAGATCCCCCTCTAGACTGCCACTTTTTGATGACAAAGTGCTGAGTCGGCAAGACATGGTGGCCATTTTAATGCAAATTAGGCCTCATTTGCAATGTCGACCTGCCTAATCTGCATCCCTCTGCTGACAGAGGGATGCAGTCTAGACATACCCATAATGACTGGAGAAGATTAGAACAGAGAAATCCCCCATATGGGGCGAATGCTCTACAGACATAATTCTGGCTGAGTTAGTTCTTCTGCCCCAACAGTCTTCCCCACTCTCCCACAGTATAAGTGAAAAGAGGGTGTGCTGGGGGGTTTTAAGGTGTGGAGGAACAAGGTGTGGAGAGGGAACTATGTTCTGTTCTACTGGATTCTCCCCTAGCGTAAGTGAGGGCTGGCCTCCTGCAGCAATAATTGGCACCAGGGCCAGGCAGGTCTGAATCAGGATGCAACAACTGGCTCCTTGCAACCATGCCCCTCTCCACTCTTGGGTGGATTGCAGAATCAGGGCCACATATATTTCATCTTCACTCTAGGGTTACAGTTTTGGTAGGATGTAGGCTTGGCAGTTTTATCACATGACAATCTTTAATTAAAGATTAATTGTTAATTCCTGGTGACTTCTGGAAAGTCTTTGAGGATTAGAAACTCTATTCCATTCTCACTTTCTCACACAGTTACATTTGTTACCCCAAACCAGCATATCCTAAACCTCTGTTTTCCCTAGCACCACTGTTACAATAAATAAGAAGATAGATAAAGCTAGGTTTTTGTTTGATTTCAACATTTATTGAGCGCCAAATATTTTAATAAAAGAACTTAGGCCTTGACTTCTTCACCCATTGAAGTCAATGGAAATTTAACCCTTAACTTCAGCGGGAACTGGATTAATCCTTTTGATGTGAGTTTTGTTAAGATTTTAAAACTCTTACAGAATTGAGTAGCATTTTGCTTCATGCAAAGAAGTATATAACAGTTACACAAAGTAAACAAACAATGAAAATATCTATAAATTTTACACTTAGGGTATACCTACACTACAAGGGTATTTAAAAATAAGTTATTTCAGCATAATAACTCCTAAAATAACTATTTTGAAATAGTACAGCTACACTACAGGGAAGCCTTGAAATTAGTCTGAGGCAGGCTCCCTTAATGTGGACATGCTACTTCTACTTGGAGCCCCAGGAAGCACTGAGGAGTAATAATTACTGTGAATAGGCCCGGGAGGAACTATTTTGAAGTAGCAGCAATGGAGCGTCCACACTGCCACTATTTTGAAATAAGCGTTATTCCTCATTAAATGAGAGTTTATTTCAAAATAAGAAGGCCATTATTTTGAAATAATTCTGAATTAACAGGCTTACTGTGTGGACACTCGCCCTGTTATTTCAAAATAATGTGAGCTATTTCAAAATAATGCTGTAGTGTAGACATGCCCTGAGAATGAAAACTGAGACAATGCCTTGAGTTGTCCTGTTTTATATAGCATGATCTAGTACATGTACCAAAGATAGTAAATTATATTTCAGCTTCAATTCTTTGCCTCTGAGGTCATTTGTGAATTGTGGAGAGCGTTAAATCAACAGATTTTACTGTAGCCAGTAGATGAATGTATGAGGTCACTCAGAAACCATAGCATTTATGTTGGATCCCCAAAAGAAACAGAGAAATTAATTAAGTCTGGGCCAAGCACTTTTCACTGTGACTTTTGTCTATGTGATTAGTGATGTGACACTTTGTCTTTTCCTGTCAGGGTGCTTTTGTGGCTTTAGAATGTCTTTTTCTAAACAGCCATAGCTACCAAATATCTTGTGTAACCTAGTGAAAATCATAGACTTTCTGACAAATTTAGAGCAAGAGATATCTTCTGAGCCTATGACTTACATGTGAAAGGATAGCAAAAAGAGAGAATTTAAAATGCACCAGTGCTGTGTGTACCAGGAGGAGTGGTGTGATGGATTCAGCACAAGGCCATCAACCAGATGTGTGTGGCCTTGGCCTAACTGTACAGCCTTTCACCCTTTCAAGGCCTAAGATACTGGGCACTAACTATGAGCTGCTATTTAAAAGTCTCAGAGGGGTAGCCATGTTAGTCTGTAACTGAAAAAAAATAAAAAACAACAAATAGTTCTGCAGCACCTCATAGTCTCATAGACTTTAAGGTCAGAAGGGACCATTATGATCATCTAGTCTGACCCCCTGCACAATGCAGGTCACAGAATCTCACCCACCCCCTCCTAGAATAATCCTCTTACCTATATCTCAGATATTGAAGTCCTCAAATGGTTTAAGGACCCCAAGATGCAGAGAATCCTCCAGCAAGTGATCTGTGCCTCGTGCTACAGAGGAAGGCAAAAAACTTCCAGGGCCTCTGCCAATCTACCCTGGAGGAAAATTCCGTCCCGATCCCAAATATGGCAATCAGCTGATGCCTGAGCATGTGGGCAAGGCTCACCAGCCAGACACCCAGGAAAAAGTTCTCTATAGTAACTCCTATCATCCCACCACTGGCCTATTTACCACTGATAGTAAAAGGTCAATTAGTTGCCAAGATCATGTTATCCCATCAAACCATCCCCTTCATAAACCCATTTAGCTTAATCTTGAAGCCAGATAGGTATTTTGCCCCCACTACTTCCCTTGGAAGGCTGTTCCAGAACTTCACTCCTCTAACGGTTAGAAACCTTCATCTAATTTTGAGTCTAAACTTCCTAATAGCCAGTTTATATTCATTTGTTCTTGTGTCCACATTGGTATTAAGCTTAAATAATTCCTCTCCCTCCCTGGTATTTAGAGAGAGCAATCATGTCTCCCCTCAGCCTTCTTTTGGTTAATGTAAACAAGCCAAGCTCCTTGAGTCTCCTTTCATAAGACAGGTTTTCCATTCCTCGGATCATCCTAGTGGCCCTTCTTTGTACCTATTCCAGTTTGAATTCATCGTTCTTAAATATGGGAGACCAGAACTGCACACAGTATTCCAAATGAGGTCTCACCAATGCCTTGTATAACAGCACTAACACCTCCTTATTTCAACTGGAAATACCTCGCCTAATGCATCCCGTATTAGCCTTGTTCACGGCCATGTCACAATGGCGGCTCATAGTCATCCTGTGATCAACCAGGACTCCGAGGTCCTTCTATTCTTCCGTTACTTCCAACCGATGTGTCCCCAGCTTAGAACTAAAATTCCTGTTATTAATCCCTAAATGTATAACCTTTCACTTCTCGCTATTAAATTTCATCCTATTGCTATCACTCCAATTTACAAGGTCATCCAGATCTTCCTGTATGATATCCTGATCCTTTTCTGAATTGGCAATACCTCCTTAAAGACTAACAAAAAATGTGGATGGTATCATGAGCTATTGTGGGCACAACCCACTTCTTCAGATAAGCTGCTGAGTGGTTTTACTCCCTCGTTTCCGTGAGAGAGCAAGGT